TTGTGATGCATCCCACCACCGCTGTATCATCTGCAAACTTTACAATGTGACAGCCTGGATGGGTAGCTGCACAATCATATGTGAGCAGAGTAAACAGAAGGGGGCTCAACACACATCCCTGAGGAGAGCCAGTGCTGAGGGTTATGGTGGAGGAGGAGAGGTTGTGGATCCTCACTAACTGTGGTCTGTTTGTTAAAAAGTCTAGTACCCAGTTGCAGATGGAGAGGCTTAGTCCTAGTGTGGATAGTTTGTCCATCAGGGTTTGGGGGATCATGGTGTTGAAGGCGGATGTGAAGTCCACAAAGAGCATACGGACGTAAGAGTTTTTCTGCTCCAGGTGGTTGAGCGCAGTGTGGACCACAGAGGAGATTACATCCTCTGTTGATCGGTTCTCACGGTATGCGTACTGATGAGGGTCCTCGTTGATGTTGATGGTTGTTTTGATGTGAGTCATGACCAGTTTTTCGAAGCATTTAGCGACTATCGGGGTGAGGGCCACTGGCCGATAGTCATTCAGACCAGTCACTGTAGAGCTTTTTGGGACTGGGATGATGGTGGCAGTCTTCAGGCAGGTGGGAACTGTCTCCAGGGTAAGTGAGGTGTTAAAGATGTCTGCCAGCACCTATGCAACACGTATGCAAGACATGGGGTTCAGCTGTCACATTTATTGTGTCAAGCCACTCTTGAACAAGAGACAGCGTCAGAAGTGTCTCGCCTGGGACTGCTGCTGAGTGGTCCAAAGTTATGTTCTCTGATGAAAGTAAATGTTACATTTCCTTTGGAAATCAAGATCCCAGAGTCTGGAGGAAGAGAGGAGAGGCACAGAATCCACGTTGCTTGAGGTCCAGTGTCAACTTTCTAGTCACTGATGGTTTGCCATGTCATCTGCTGGTGTTGGTCCACTGTGTTTTCTAAGGTCTAAGGTCAACGCAGCCAACTACCAGGAAGTTTTAAAGCACTCCATGCTTCCTGCTGCTGACCAACTTTATGGAGATACAGATTTCATTTTCCAACAGAACTTGGCACCTGCACACAGTTCCAAAGATACCAGTACCTGGTTTAAGGACCATGGTGTCCCTGTTCTTAATTGGCCAGCAAAGTCACCTGACCTTAACCCCATAGAAAATATATGAGGTATTGTGAAGAGAAGATGTGATACATCAGACCCAACAATTCAGAAGAGCTGAAGGCCACAATCAGAGCAACCTGGGCTCTCATAACACCTGAGCAGTGCCACAGACTGATCGACTCCATGCCACGCTGCATTGCTGCAGTAATCCAGGCAAAAGGAGCCACAACTAAGTATCGAGTCTTGTACATGCTCATACTTTTCATGTTCATACTTTAAAGTTGGCCAACATTTCTAAAAATCCTTTGTTTTTTGGTTTTAAGTAATGTTATAATTTTCTGAGATACTGAATTTGGGGTTTTCATTAGTTGTCAGTTCTAATCAACATTAAAATAAACATTTGAAATATATCAGTCTGTGTGTAATGAATGAATATAATATATAAGTTTCACTTTTTGAATGGAATTACTGAAATAAATCAACTTTTTCATGATATTCTAATTTTAAGCCCAGCACCAGAATAATGTGATAAATAAACAGCGTACATTTGCCCAAGTGCAGGGAAATAGCTTAAATTAGTGCTGAGTTTAGTTTCTGTTTAGAAACACTTGGCTTCTTCCCTTAAAAAGTGATTAAAAACATAAATAAAACCTCAAAATTTAGCCGTGTATGTAAAGATGGCATTTATTGTATCAAACAATGTCTTGTAACAAAAAAATCCCTCCGTTTTGAACATTTTACCTGAAAATTTAATTGAAAAACCCTAAGAAATACCAACACTGTTCATTACATATTTTCACCTCAGAGCAGGAAATGCAGCAAAAAGTGCTTTATGTATCAGTTTAGCTCACAGAAAGAAAAAAAATATATATTTCCTCAAATTTTCATTAAACTTATAAAATATCTGGAACGCAGATTTTCACATAAAAGTTTAAAATGTGTAGAGTGTCCCATCTGCAGACCGCTCTGAGCTCGATCACAGATTTTTGCTCTTGGAGAAGTAGAAGTCGATGCCTCGGTCTCAGTGTTGTTTGGGAGTATGAGACGGGCCCTTCTTTCCTCTTGGAGAAGGCCCTGGGTCACTCTATGGAAAACAAGGACACCAAATATTTTTACCTAATGAACAATCAGGTAATGCTCACAAGTAAATTCACCAACAAATTAAAACACACTGCATTGCAATATAAAAAAAGATGCCAAAGACAATCTTGTTTTTTTAAGTTTAGTTCTGTGGAAAGATTGTGAACAAGTAATATCTTACCTGTTGTAGACCCCTATTTGAAAAAGCTTATGGATTTATAAATTAATACATAACTGCTATAAAACTTTGGAAATTTAGGTCATTTTAAGATTGAAGCAATCTATTTTGGTTTTGACCTTGTTTCGGCTGCCCCCATAAGCAACGGCTACATACAGGATAACAAGTAATTCCATAATATACAGCCCGTTCCCTGTAGGTGCCAGATACATACCCTCTACTTACTACATGAACTGTGTACGTATTTGACTGTATTATGTATTGCTACTAACTTTGTTTCAAAAAGCCATCTTTAACTGGTAAAATAGTTTTTGTTCATAAACGTTCCAGAGAAAGTGCCGCATATTCCTGTAAAATGTTGTAGAATGGCAGCAAGGCATACAAATAAAATACGCATCTAAAAGTACATGATAAAAACCAGTAACCATCATCTTCATAACCAGTGTTGCTGTAAATGTGCTTCCATTCCACCGATATATTTTCACTCATAATATCCACTTCCCTTTTCTGAAGCACTCACCGGTTTCTTGTTAAAGTGCCGACTCCATTCAGGCGCGACGACAACAGGGGTGGGGTAGGTCTCACCGAGGGTCACGTGAGCGTGCGACAGCGCTGCAGAGCTGAGAGTCCAGGGTGTGTGCGCATCTGCTCCTCTGATGGAGCTCAACTCTGGAACCCACTGCCTCACGTAATCGCCCTGAAGCACGAGACGCCATTTGTGATTCAGTGAGCGATAACAGATTTGTTTGTAAATCTGTACTCGTGACACCAAAAACAAAAATATGGCTCGGATAGTTTGCATGGCGCTGCAACAAGTTCAGTCCCACAATAACGTGAAGTGTAAATGAAAGCAACTGATCAAACATACGCCGCTGTCGTAGTCGAGTGCTTGTTTGATCATGTTGAACTTCCTGTTCTCTCTGGGGTCATTTCCTACACCGGCGCTGTAAAGCCAGTTCCCATAGTTGCTGCAGACATCGTGATCAATCTTAGAAAAAAGAAAAATATAAATTAACTTTAAAAAATACTCAATGCTCATGAATACACTACATATGATTCATAAATAAATATAATGATATATTAATTATTTTAAACCTGAGTTATGCTACGTACCAAAAGGTATTCGAACCACTCGGCTCCCAACCTCCAGTCCAGACCCAGATCCTTAGTGAGGAAACTTGCAACATTTTGTCGCCCTCTGTTAGACATAAAGCCCGTCTGTGCCAACTCTCTCATGTTTGCATCCACAAAGGGGACCCCTGTGCGCCCCTCTAAAAGCACAACATGTACACTATGTTTAAATGCATCTCTCCGAGACTAAAACTGGGGTTTCATGATGTGTTGTGACTACAAACCTTTCCATGCATCAAAAAGCTTTGTGTCCTTCTTCCATGGCACTGATCTGTCCTGGAGCCCTATGATGAGGTAAATATAAGATCTTTATTCATTTATAGTAAATACTAAAAAACTAGATGAATTGCATTTCCTGCAAAAATGTAGTGTGAATGCTTATTGCAGAAGGACTTGATGAAAAACAGCTGAAATTAACTTAAAAAAGCATGCTGAATTGTAGCTAAAATTGAAGAACAAGCCTAAAATAGCAGAAGAAAGCAGAAAGAACACATATTTGCTGAATTAGGTTTAAATAAGCAGAAATTAGCATAAAAATGAAATTAGCTAAAATAGCTGAAATTAGCAAAAAAAATAGCTGAAAAGTAGCTGAAAAGGCAGAAAGTAGCTTAAACTACCAGAAGGAAAAAGAAAGAGCTGAAATGAGCTTAAAAAAAAAAAAGGAATTTGCTGAAAATGCTAAACTTACCACAAAAACAGCTAAATAGTAGTTGAACTAACAGAAAAAGCTGAAGGTATCAGAAAATGCTGAAATGAGCATATAAAGCTGAAATAAATTAATTAGGCTGAAAGTAGCAGAAATCACCACAAAATTTTTGAATTTATCTGAAGACAGCTAAAATTAGATATAAAAAAGCTAAACAGGGAGCTGAAAAGGTACAACAACTTAAATTATTAGAAAAAAACAGAAAGAACACGTTTGCCCAATTAGGCTGAAAAAAGCATAAATGAGCACAAAACAAGTGGAAATTATCTGGAAAAAAAAAAAGCTGAAATTAGCAAAAAACATCTGAAAAGTAACCAAAAAGGCAGAAAAAAATTTAATTACCAGAAGTGGAGAAAGCAAATTTTTGCTGTATTAGGCTGAAAAAGTTGAAATGAGTGCAAAAATGTGGAATTAGTGGAAAAAGTTAAAATTAGCATAAACCAGCTACCAGTAAATAGTAGCTGAAATAGCAGAAAAAGCTGAATCTTGGAGAAATAAGCTGAAAGAAGTATAACAAGCTGAAATTGGCAGAAAGAAGTTAGAAGAAGCACAAAAATGTTGTAGTTAACAAAAAGAATCTGAAAGGAGCACAAAACGGCTGAAATCAGCTGAAAGTATCAGAAAAAAAGTTTCAATTTGCACAAGGAAGCTGCACAAAATGTGAAAGGAGCAGTAAAAGGTTGTAAACAGATCTAAATATTTGAAGGCTGTAAAATGAGCTCAATTCATTTAATATGAGGAAAAACTGGCAGAAAAAGCTAAATATTAAAATAAATAAATAAATAAATAAAGCTAAAGTTGCAGCAATACCAAAAGTCAGAGTAGGATTGTCCTGAAAGAGCTGAACGTTTCAATTTATGATTTGTTGAAATAGATTGAAAACTGCGGGACGAGAATCGTGCCGAAAAACATACGGAAGAAAAATGGATCACAAAAGTGTGAATGCTTCATAAACATTTCACACAATAACAAACAGCATTCCATAGTTTTACCTTTGAGTTGAAAAATTCTGGTTCCATACTTGACGCCCACAAACCTGAAGTAGTCTCTCCACAAAAGCTCAAAAATGACCCTGAAGAAGGGAAACGCATGAAGAAGTGCGGGACAGCTTACAGCTTGTGTGACTTTACACCAGGAAAAGTTTACATTTTCATCAAAACTTGTGATTTTGGTTTTAACGAACACAAGCAACAAGCTCGAGTACGAGTAAATATACTGACCAGTAGGTGCTCTGATTGGCTGTCCGCTCCTTTTCATACTGTTTGATCTGATGATAAATGTACCTTGGAGAAATGCATCCTACAGCCAGCCTGCACAGTCCCAGATTAGGAGATTACAGTACATGCCTTAGAACTCCTTCAAGCAGGCAGACTGACGTATAAAAAAACGAACCACGGTGAAAATTTTGTAGAAAAGTCCACCCCGATCAGGCCATTGCGAGTCTCCTTGTAAGTTGCAACTTTATCCTACAAAACAAACAAGGCACGCTCCACATATCACAACTACTCAGACGATAGTAAAAATATTACATATTTTTGTGATGGATGCTGCTCTCACAGTGTCCCAGAAGTAGTGTTCAAGTCTAGCCAGAGCGTGACTTTCTCCACCACTGCAGGGGAAAGCTGAGCGAGGATCAGTCAAAGGCTCTGCAGAAATTCAACAGCAAGAGTTTGTCAGCGTCGTAGCAGTTTAATGCGTGCATTAAGGCATAAAAAGGTCATAAAAGCTTAATTATAAACATAAAATTCCAGCGAGTCTGCTCCCTTGTTGGCTCTTTATAAAGAATATGCTCAGCAATTTGCCTGTTGAAGTCTGCAAAAAGTGCAATGGAGATTTATTGAATGGATCTGGTGCACACAAAATGCAATCTGTGGCTCTTTATTGCTAGAAGCATACTTCAGTTTAAAGAATACAGAATAAATGCATAAACATGTTGTGGTTTTTGGACGTGAGCATCTTAGAAACAAACTCTGCAGCCTTTCACTTCCTCTGGAAGACATTATTTTAACTTGAGAACCATGGGTGCGATTTTCGACCAGGACGTGTATTTTTTTTTTAATTCTCACAATCCCCACAATAAAAATGTTACAAGGGAGGACTGCTTTTACCCACCTGAGTAATATGACTAAAATTAGAAACATATTGTCCTAAAATGAAGAAAAACTGATCCGTGTATTTTTCATTTCTAGGCGGGACTATTTTAATTCTTGATCCAAAACACTGCTGCCAGAGTTCTGATGAGTTAGAAGGTGAGATCATATTTTTTTTTTTCCAGTTTTAACTTCTCTCAAAGTCTAAATCAAATTTAAAACCTTACATCCAACCTACAACACTCAACAACTAAACTACATCTTATATTAAAGATCATACTGTTACATAGTTTCAAAACTGAGCACGTCCCTCTCAGACTGCAGGTTTACTTGTGGTTCCTAGAGCTTCCAAAAGTTGAATAGGAGGAAAATCTTTCAGTTTTTGGGCTCCTCTCTTGAAACCAACTTCCAGTTTCTGTCTGTGAGGCTGACACATTGTCTATTTTGAAGTCTTTCGTTTATCATAAATCCTATAGTTAGGGTTGGCTTATGTCCCCTGAGCTATCCCTTAGTTGTGCTGCTATAGGTTTAGACTGCTGGAGGACACATTAACTGCTTTTCCTCACACTGCTGCCTTTACTCTTTCTACCTTTCCTATTCATACAGGCAGTTATTGCTGCCATTACTGGTTTTTTCTTCCCACAGAAACCACACCGGACCAATCCTTCTGTGTTTGTCTCCTTTCCTGTCCTATAAAACCTCAGTAGGTCGAGACAGATGGCTGCCCAGCCTGAGCCTCGTTCTGCTGGAGGTTTCTTCAAGTTAAAAGGGAGGCATTTCTTTCCACTTTCTTTAATATGCTGCTCAGAATGGAGGATCGAAATAATGAAGATTCAGTGCAATCTGCTGGCTTCCTTAAATATCTTTTACTAAATGCAATTCAAAATAAACTAGGTGAATATTCTATATTTTAATAGGAATGAATAAACTGATTGGGTTTGATTGATGGTTTTGACTCGTTTTTTCTTTTGTATAATGCCCTGAGATTACCGTATTTTCAGCCGTATAAGTCGCATCAGTCCATAAATGTACATAATTTCGCTCCACCACATGTACCACATGAGGTGCGAATGACAATAAAGAAACTCTGACTCTCTCTGACTCTGATCAGTCCAAAAATGTCTAATAAAGTGGAAAAATGCATAAATACATCGCTTCACCGTATACGTCGCATCTATTATGTGTCACCGCCGACAACCCAGAAATGTGGGCCGGTGTTGTGCCAAAAATCGATTGGCTGCCAAATGGCGGCCTGCGGGAGCGTGCACGGGAGGACTTTAACAAGAATTTAACAAGATTAACACTTAAAAACAATTATTTGTTTGCTCGAGTTTATAGTAAAGGTGTGTCTCAGTCTAACGTTTGCTTAATAAAAAGGACTTTAACGGTCAAATCAGCTGCATTTCAAAAGTATTCGCTGCCTCGGTGCTCCCAGGAGCGTTCAGACTGGGAGGAAAAAAGGAAGGAGGATCGCTGAGCGTTTCTTCGAAATTTAACAAGCACCTAAAACAATTATTTGTTTGCTCAACATTTTAGTAAAAGTGTGTCTCAGTTGAACGTTTACTTAATAAATGCACTTTAATGGTCAAATCAGCTTCATTTCGCTGGGGTAGTGCAGCGAAATGAAGCTGATTTGACGGTTGCTCCAAGCGAGCTGAACGACAGTTGCAGGCTATGGCAAGCCGATTGGGTCATTACTAGCCACTTTTACCCATTAAATGATACAACGGCATGCCATACTACTCGAGTGCCATCTAGTGGCTGAAAATGGTAGTGTTCAATATTTCAGTCAGAATGAATGAAAACGGTCATATCTCAGCCAAAAATCAGTTTATAAATATGGAGAAAAAAAATCCATAAATAAGTCACTTCAGCGTACGAGTCACAGGGAATGCAAATTATGCAAAAACAGTGACTTACAGGGCGAAAATATATGGTACTTTTGTTTTGAATAGGTGCTATATGCTGTATAAAAATGTGTAGTAGCAACACAAATTCAAGCATGGTTTGGCCAATGCAACATGTAGACACAAAGTGATTGGATGCAGATTAAAACTTTTCAAACTGAGAATATAGCATTTTCTATTATTCACCAGTTTGTTGCATGTCCTCTACTGTGGGAATAACTCCTTCTTCCAACCCTGGGGGAAGAGGATTCAGTCTCTCGGGAGTTGGGAACACGGGTCTCACGCTGCTCTGGATCTCCACTGCCTTTCTGAACTGAGTGTACACGTCAGGCAGCCTAATGCAGTCAGAGGAAAACATCAAACAGCATATAGTATGTATATTTAATAAAATGACTACTTTTTCACTAAAGAAGATTGTCCAGCAGAAATCAGACGATTGACCAGAAAACAATCGACATCTTCTCAAACCTGGACATGTGGCGAAATGGCACGTCATCTCTGTGGTAAAGCGTCGAGCCCCAGCAGGTGTGAACCTTCACCTTTAACTGACTACACACTTCCTTCACCCTTTTCTCCACATTCAGCTCTTCTGAAGCAACCTGGAAGTTTACCACACGAATCATGTCAAAGTCACTAAACAATCATAAAAGTCTTGATTATTCCTAATGTAAACATCGGAGTACCTCTTCATGGAAAGCCACACTGCTAACAGAGCCGAGTTGCTTGATGAGGTCGGCAACCACGTCCTCTGGCTTCCCAGTCCGTACCACCAGATTGCTGTCATACAAATAAACGTGCATGAGTTCACATAGTGCCAGGACAGCTGCATCCTGGGTAGAGAGGTAGCTGGCCGGAAAAAGTCAAGGGAACAACGTGTGCAGCAGTAATGTTAATGTAAACACAAGCCCCTGTAGGTCCAGGTGTGTCCTGATCCTGTTACAAGTGTATTCATCCAATCCTAGAAAGTACATGGAGTACTCAAGAGTATAAAGCATAAAACAATTTGAAAAAATCTTATAGTATTACTCTACAGAGTAAGTAAATGATTTTAAATCAGATGTCAGTGGATTTACCTGCCCTTGTTGAGCAGTGTGTTTCTGAGATCTTTGATGCTCTCCAGCAGGAAGCGCAGACGAAAAGGCCCCGTTTTTGGGAAGTTGAAGTTGTAAGTTCCCACGTAATGTCTTGGGTCGAAACAGTACAGAGGGACTACGTGCTCAGCATTTGTTTGAGCCCAGTGGAAAAGCTGTATGTCAAAAAGAAAGAAAGCTGGGATTGGAACAAAGCCCATTAAAAAAAAAAAACCCGGAACTAAACACAACACGTTTTATTACAAATTAACCACAGCATCGGTGCTGCAGTTGTACCTTCTCATAAAATAATCAAATTTTAATGGTTCTACTTTGCTCTTGATTGGTTCAAAAAGTCTGATTTTGAAAACCAGAAGTTGTGGCAGTTATAATTTTAGCCAATACATTTTTTTTTTAATCAAAGAGAAATCTGAGTATCCACATGTGTAGATTAGTCCGAAATAAGTGTGCAGATTTATTTATTTATTTTTTTACTGTTTTTTAATATAATTTTTTGCAGCCCTGTACTTTTAACTGTGATGTACATATTCCACCCTCTCTTTTTGACTTTACTGTTGCAGCTTCTAAATAGTGATTTCGCTTAGCACATTGATCTCTCGCATTTTTTTTAATCCTTTTCTAAAACACCTCTCTTCGCTTGACATGTTAAATTATTTGTTTTTATTACGGTGCCAGTCTTGTGTTTTCATAAACTTTTTTCTTTACTCTGAGTGTCTGCTGCTATTTGCAACTAGGTACTAGACTTCTTAACAAACAGACCACAGTCAGTGAGGATCCACAACTTCTCCTCCTCCACCATAACCCTCAGCACTGGCTCTCCTCAGGGATGTGTGTTGAGCCCCCTCCTGTTTACTCTGCTCACGTATAATTTTGCAGATACCCATCCAGGCTGTCTCATTGTAAAGTTTGCAGATGATACAGCGGTGGTGGGATGCATCACAAACAATGATGAGTCCAGCTACAGGCAAGAGGTGGAACACCTGGAGAGCTGGTGCAAAGACAATAACCTTGACATTAATGTGAAGAAGACAAAGGAAATGACTGTGGACTTCAGAAGGAACAAACACACCTACACCCCCCCGAACATAAGAGGATCTGCTGTGGAAGTGGTCTCCAGCTACAAGTACTTGGGTGTACACATGAATGACAACCACATCTGGGGCAACAACACTACCAGCCTGATCAAGAAAGCTCATCAGAGACTCTACTTCCTCAGGCGGATGAGACGAGCTGGTCTGGGAAGCTCAGTCCTCACCTCCTTCTACAGGTGTGCAGTGGAGAGCATCCTGTGCTCCAGCATCAACATGTGGCATGGAAGCTGCACAGCTGCAGAAAGAAAAGCTTTGCAGAGATATTCTGCTGGAGTCCGCCTCCCCACCATCACAGACATTTACACCTCCAGATGCAGGAAGAGGGCCGCCTGCATCATGAAGGACCCTACTCACCCAGCACACACACTTTTTGCCCCGCTCCCCTCAGGAAGGAGGTTGAGGAGCATTAAGTGTAGAACCTCTAGACTGAGGAACAGCTTCTACCCTGAGGATGTTAGACTCATGAATTTCTAACCAGAATAATCACTGTGAAAAAAATCACATCATGTTGCTGTTGATCCGTTTCACGTTGAGATGTTCATGCGTGCTCATCTGCTCACACAGACTCATGCTCATGTTCGTGCTGCTGTTCGTTGTAATGTTTTGATGCCATTAGTGCTTAGTGTATATTTAGTTGTTTTTCTTAGTTCATATCTTAGATCTTATTACTGTTTTTCTTATACATTTTATTGTTGGATGTAACTGGGTCCCTGTGTACATAATTTCGCTCCATCACATGTACCACATGTGGTGCGAATGACAATAAAGAAACTCTGACTCTGACTATAGCTTTCCTATTTCATTTATTGTTTAACACTGTGGTTCTTTGTAACTGTTTTAAACTGTTTTATAAATAAAACTGAAAGGATTGTTTTAAACTTGACATAAAGTAATCAACAGGGACAATTATATACAATGCCATTAATAATAGTCAGACTTTTTATTATTTTATATTGAAAAGGAGTGTTTTATTTTGAAGAACGCCAACCGGAAGTAAACATTCAACGTTTCTCGTCGAGGTAACAACTTGTAACATGACACCGTTTTTAAATATAGTTGTCTTTTTATGGATATACTCGCAGACTAAGTAAACTCTAAACGTTATAGATTCAAAATAAAAATAAAACAACGTTTTAGACAATCCAGCCTATTGAGTATTTAAGCTCCAAACCAAAATGTCACCGTGTTTGTGACACGTTCGCGCTCGCTCTCTTACCTCATTGTCGTGGACACGCAGGTCATTGCGTAATAAACAGATCACTGTCCGAGAGACTGACATGTTGTTATTAACGTCAGAAACTAATTCAGAAAGTCCGAGCCCTCCTGTCCGTCAGCTGCTCCTGGTTTCTGCTGCAGCTCCCGAGTCTCCCGTCACGTTTTCAGACACGACGTTACAAAACATCCGGTTTTATAAGGTGATTTTTTTTTTAAAGAACTATTATTTTCACTGCAGCTTCATAGCTTATGTTTTATATAATACACCACCCTCAGTCATTAAGGAGTATTGTTTTATTGTGCTGTAAAATGAGTTTTTAATTCAATATTTTGTGCTTATAGCTTTGTAACTTTATTTTTTATCCTGTTTATTACTAATGTTCAACACTTTGTTTCAGCTGGGGCTGCTGTTAAAGCGCTTTATAAATGATGATGATGATGGTGATGATGATGAATAAATTATCATTTTATTTTGTAAACATCAGTGGAGATAAATTCCTCAATTTGTGCTTTTTTAATTTATTTTACAATAGTCAGCATATTCTATACTTGGTATGTTTTTGTGGCAAAGGTAATAAAATTTCACTGTTTTTTGTTTTTTTTTAGAAAAACAACTTTATATATTATATTGTATATTGGTTGTGGTATTTTCTGAAGTGATAAAATCCAAGATAATAATTTGTAAAAAATTACTAAAATATAAAAATGTGTCTTCTGGATCTTTTTTAATATATATATTTTAGGTCCATTCTCATGTACTTTTGAGTTGTGTATTCTGGGGTTTGGTTCATAATTGGATTTGGACGGATGTGGCTGAGTGGTTAGAGCAATCATCCTCCAATGCAAGAGTTGGGGGTTCGAATCCACCATCAGTCAAATGCCTAAGTGTCCCTGGGCAAGACACTGACCCTCATCGCCCCTGATGTGTGTCCCATCGGTGTATGAATGTTCTGATTAGTCTCTTTAGAAAGATTTGTTCAATTAGCTTTGTAGAGATCTAGTAGAGAGCTGTATGAATGAGTAAATGAGGCACAGATCGTAGTGTAAAGTGCTTTGAGTATCTCAGTAAGATAGAAAGGCGCTATACAAGTACAGTTCATCCATCCATCCATTTTCTTTACCCGCTTATTCCATTTTGGGTCACGTGGGTCGCTGGTGCCCATGTCCAGATATCACTGTGCGAGGGGCGGGGGACACCCTGGACGGGTCGCAAGTCCATCACAGGGCCACATAGAGACAAACGAGACAAACAACCATTCACTCTCTCACTCACACCTAGGGACAATTTAGTTACCAATCAGCCTAACATGCATGTTTTTGGTCTGTGGGAGGAAACCGGAGCACCCGGAGAAAACCCACGCATGCACGGAGAGAACATGCAAATTCCACCCAGAAGGCCCCTGGACCGGGGTTTGAACCAAGGACCTGCTCGCTGAGAGGCAGCAGCTCTACCAGTTGAGCCACCGTGCTGCCCACAGTTCATCTATTTAGAACTATTTTTAAAAGATCCTAACTAGCTAATTAATATTGAAAACATGTATTTATTGCAAACGTAAAGCAGATGTCATGTTTGACAATAATAATGCAGTTTCCTGATATAGCTCAGCACTAGTCAAACTATTTTTGTACTTTTTTAACGCTTGAAAACTTTTTTTTTCTGATAAAGGCAAAAAAAAAAAGGGTCATTTTAACATTTAAACCTGCATGCAGCCCTACACAGAAGCTCAAATGTTCCATGTTTTTCTTGAATTTGTGTTTGTTCAGTGTTATTTGTGTCATGTTTTTCCAACGTACTCCACCTCAGGGTAGCAGTATGGAAAAATCCAGACACTTGCTTCTGACAGATAGATGTCTGATAAAACCAAAGTTCTTGTTAGAAGTCTCCCTGCTCACTACACTTCAGAACATTTCTAGAAGTAAAACTATCTGAAAACTATCAAAAACATAAAAAATGTCTAGTCTGTGAAAGGAGGCAGCAAGGGTTCTGTATAACTTTAACTTCTTTTACAATACAGATTATTAAAGAAAACAAACTAATGAGAAATACCTATTAAAAAAATTAAATCAACTTGAAAATATGAGTTAATGTGGATAGGAATAGCAACATCAAATAAATATGATACATTTCCAAAACGCTTCATTTTCACACAATAACATGATCCAATCAAACAGTCTTAGACTTTTGATTTATTAAGTTAAATGTACAAAAGCTCGAAGACTTGATACATTTCATGTTTCAAGGCTTTGTCATTAAAACAAAACAAACTATTGTCCCAGTCGAAAGCCTCTCGGTCATTTCCAGAATGCCTGCCAGCTCTCAGACAATCAGACATACTCGTCAAAAATCACGGCCCAGTCTACAATACAACATAGACTGTTTTCGTCAAATAGTTTTTTTTTTTTTATTATAATATAAAAGACATTTCGTATAAAAGTGCAGAACAACACGTAATATAACCGTTGTCCATGGAAGAGAACTTCAGCGAGTCCTGGGCGTGCTCTTAACGGAACAGCTGCTCGTCTTTTTCTAGGAAGCTCTCCTGTTTTGGCAGCGAGTTTGTGTCTACAAGTAGAAACGGATAAGGCACCAACAAAGGGTCAAACAGATTCGATCACTCCTTAAGCGCCACTGAATTAGTTAGCCACTACGCAGCCAACGCCAATCGTTAAATCACCATCCAGACATACCGACGTGTCGTCATAAAACAGTCCGTTCGAAGGGCGTGAGAAGCTAAATGAAGGCGTGGAGTGATCCACAAAACATAAACAAGACGCAATCCTTCGATCTGTTCTCGTGCATCCGATTTGGTTTGTGCCGTCTATAAAGTGCACAAAGCTGCCAACATGCAGGAAAGGCTGTAGGTGACTAATACTGCAAAGTTTTATTGTCTCTAGGAACTTTTCTTTTTCTTTGGCCACTTTAAAAAAATGGAATGAGGCTCCCCGGATGGGGAGGTGGAATGAAGGTTGTCAAACAGCAGTGTTTGTATTGCTTAGGAGACATTGCACACCGATGCAAACGTTTTGGTTTTTCTTTGCAGTTTAACGTTATAAAAGAGAAGTCATCAAATAGAAAAATATCTCATCTGATTATCTTGTAAATGTCTCGATGCGTGATATAAAAAGTGCAATGGTAAGAATCTGGATGGGGTTGGGAGTGCTATGAAAGCAGAGCAAAAACAACCCTTTATATTGGGAAAAAAACCCAGACATTCATGCTTACAAACTCTTATTGTAAGGCGTTGATAAAAAATGCATGTACATTTTTCTTAAATGTGGCAGTAGAAATCATCTGCTAAGATGTGTGTCGTATAAAAATATGCTTCTGTTTTCATTTTCGCTCGCAGCTATTTCAGACTCATGAGCGGCATCCATGAGTGTCCGAGGTGACCAACGTCCCTGGTCTGCTCGTTCTGAAGACGCTGCTCTGTGACAGTGAAAGGCTTCGCTTCAACTTTGGCTCCTTTTTTCTTGTCAAATGACAGCAGCTTGTGCGGCTGCTAAGCGCCTTCCTGTCAGCCTCCTCCTGACGGAACAACAGGGACAGCTCTGGAGTTCTGACCTGGCCTCTCAGGAAACGGTCTAGGTCGGTGAGAGATGAAAATAAAAACAATTCCTGACGAGGCGAACACTGCTGAGCGAAGACAGGTTGGGGAGGTGGAGTGTTGCTGAGTCCTGGCTCTGGGGCGAGGCGGAGTCACAACGGAGGCCTCACAGGCAGGGGGAGGGGACGAGGGCAGGAGTCCACAGGTTTCAGAAGCTCCCCTGGACAAACGGGTGGCTGAGTAAAATGTCTGCCGTGGGCCGCCACTTCTCCTCGACAAACACCTTCCGCAGGAAGTCTCTGCACGTGTCGGACACGCTCTCTGGGAGCATGGGCTTCGTGGGCTGGGTGGCGATCTTAAAAATGGCCGCCATGGCCTCATACTCTGCCCACGGAGGTTTCTGGGTCAACATCTCGACGACAGTACAGGCGACACTCCTAAAGAACGACACCACAGCAACAAATATGAGTCAACGGACAAATTTTTACCATTTTAATACAAGGTATTTAAAGTAGTGCATGACGTGAGATAAAGTAGTCCCTCGCTTCTTCGCGGTTCGATTTTTGCGGACTCGCTCTTTCACGTTTTTTCGAAGTACAGTACAGTAAGATTGTAAACGGGAAAAAAAAAAAAAGCGCAGCCATTTTGTAGTTTTCTCTCAATAAGCCTATATTGTATCACCAGCCTAAAGGACTACATTACCCAGAAGCCAAAGTTGCTTATGCTGAAATGGAGGGAAAGTTTTGATTTGATCTGAAAAAGTTTGGTCCTTATTCATGGTGACTTTGGCGCTCAGCGGATGCAGAAAGCCGTACCGAACCGACAGGGAATTGGACCAGAACCGGACTTCCCAGCCTCATCGGTCAATCTGAGTGCTGCTTCTGGCCCATGAAGCCTCTCGAGTGGGGAGGCGTTGCTTTGAGGTCTGGTGTTTTCGCCGGAGCTCACCCGGACTTTTTTCATCCAGATTTGGGCTCGATCGGGACCATTGTGTGGTTTTGTGCTGGCTATCTGAAGGTCCGGCTCTCTCTAAAAGCGTCTTGGTGCTCAAGGGCTGCAGAGGGCCGCTCAGAACCAGACCAAGGCTGGGTAGGTCTGCCGAACCGGAACCGAGCCGAACAGGAACCAAGTTCTTCAGAGCTGATGAGTAAAATTTTGCAGTACTGTGCATTGCATATATGTATGTTGTTAAAATGACGTAGGTTTAAGAATTTAGAATATTGCAAGAGTGTGGGAAGAGTTTCTAAAACCTTAGAATTTTAAGACATTACTACTCAACTTAAAATTTTAAGTAGAGTGAATAAACATTATCAAATTATCTTGATTAATAAACTCTTGCTAAATAAACTTTGGCTTTAGTTTAGATGATATAAATTTATTAGTTGAACTGTTTTGGTATGTTGTTTCAACTCAGAAATCTACGTCAATTTAACGTAAGTGTTAAGTATCGTATTTTTCACACTATAAGTCGCGTTTTTTTGCATAATTTGCATGTCCTGCGACTTATACGCCTAAGCGACATATTTATGGATTTTTACCCTTATTTATAAACCAATTTTTGGCTGAGATTTGAGTGTTTTCACTCATTCGGACCGAAAAAATTTAACACTACCACTTTCAGCCACTAGATGGCACTCAAGTAGTAAGGCATGTCATTGAATCATGTAATAGGTAAAAGTCGCTATTAATGACACAATCGGTTTGCCACAGCCTGCCACCTTCGTCTGCCTGGAGCAACCAAATCAGCTTAATTTTGCTGCGCCGCCCCAGCGAAATGCACCTGATTTGACCATCAAAGTGCATTTATTAAGTAAAAGTTCAACTGAGACACACCTTTACTATAAAGCTGAGCAAACAAATAATTGTTTTTAGGTGGTTATATTGTTAAATTTCTAAGAAATGGACTAAGTTGCCCTCTGCGTGTTCATGTTTCTGTATATCAGCGTTTGAAAATGCAGCTGATTTGACCGTCAATGTGCATTTATTAAGCAAAAGTTAGACTGAGACACACCTTTGCTATAATTTTGAGCAAACAAATAATTGTTTTTAGGTGTTTATCTTGTTCAATTTCAAAGAAATGCGCGGAGGCTCATCCCTATGCGCATACCCGCTTCCGTGAATCAGGTTTTGAAATACAGCTGATCTGACTGTCAAAGTGCATTTATTAAGGAAAAGTTAGACTAACATACACCTTTACTATAATGTCGAGCAAACAAATAATTGTTTTTAAGTGTTAATCTTGTCAAATTCTTGTTATTATAGTCCTCCCGTGCACACTCCCGCGACCACCATTTGGCAGCCCATTGATTTTTGGCACAACACCGGCCCACATTTCCGGGTTGTCAGCAGTGACGCATAATAGATGTGACGTATACAGCGAAGCAACGTATTTATGGATTTTTTCCACTTTATTAGACATATTTGGACTGATGCGACTTATAGGGTGGTGCGACGTGTACGGCGGAAAATACGGTAAATAAAAAAATTGTTTTTTTTTTCACTTATTAAGGAGGGGTCCGGAATGTAACCCCCGCGATAAACAAGGGACTACTGTATCCAACAAGGATAAATCAGGTGCTCTGGATGGATTCTTCTTTGTCAAAACGTTTCGTCTTTCATCCAGAAGACTTCTTCAGTCTGAGGCGATGCAACAAACTCAGTCTTATAAACAGCAGCTTCTTATAAGACTGTTTGTTGCATCGCCTCAGACTGAAGAAGTCTTCTGGATCAAAGATGAAACGTTTTGACAAAGAAGAATCCGTCCAGAGGACCTGATTTATTCCTTGTTAGATTTACCTGGATTATTGAGCATGCACCAGGACATTAAGTGACATAATTCATCTAATGCAGATCTGCTTCTCTAGGGAAACATATTGATTGCTAAGCTCCTAAAATCATTTCCTCTAGTTTGTGTGTGCATATCGCAATTCATGCCAGTACAGCACCTTTTCAGTGTGGAAGTTTTCCCTGCATGATGAAGACTCAGTAACAAATAGTAAGTAGGTAAGGTGTGTTTTTGTCCTGCAACAGACTGATCTCCCCTCTGGACCTCCATGCTATTTCTGTCCAATAGTATCCTCACCACACATCAGCTTTGCGGCCGTATCCCTCTCCGTTAATGACTTCAGGGCTCATCCAGTAGGGGGTGCCAGTGACAGACTTGATTCCTGTTCCAGACATGCAGATGGTCTGGATGCGTTTGCTGGCCCCGAAGTCTCCGAGCTTCACGTTTCCTGAGGAGTCTCTGAGGATGTTAGCACCTGGTGGAACCGAACGAAACAAGCTCAGAGTTATTCAGGAGTCTCCTGAGGGCTGTCGACGTCTTCGCAGGTGGAATGAGAGTTTAGAGGCCGTCGCTCAACCGACTTCAGAGGAGAGGTTTCAGGAACAAGGGTTATTTTTTTAAATACCAACATGCTCCTTGATCCCGGCATTATGTAGATACTTCACACCCTGAACTTAATAAATACTGACGTTTTTAACTTTTTTCCACTTTCAGCCAAATCAGACTCAAATATTAAACATCTGCTCCACATGAGATAAACCGGACTTAAACAGCCACTCCTCCCGTACTAATTTTCCAACATGTAGCCGTGTCCATCCCATTTCCTCCACTTGTTTGATCAGTGACTAATATGCGCCACTTGCCACTTACTCTCCCACAAAGGGATCAGACGACCGCAAGGAAGAGCTCAAGAGGCTAACGCTGTAAACTTTACAGCTAGTATTTACATTTGTTTGGCTCTTGGGCGCATTAAATTCACAAAATCTGGTCGGTGTCATTGCTTTCATGCTAAACTAGTCAAAATACTAATTAAAAATCATGAGCTGACATTTATTTAGCTGCAACAAGAGGTGCCCTTGTGTGTTGACGTGAGCTCGACCCTTATATTAAACATGTGAAGCATTTCTGTGTGGAAAATCCCACCCACGCTTGTGCTTAGAGCCCGTCTGTCCCATGTGACCCACTATCATTTTCTCCCACCAGACTTTATATTTCCCTCCTTTTTGGCTGCGGCTTCACGAACTGTGGGCAGCAAAAATAAAGCAAAGTGCTTTTTTAAAAAATGTTTCGGTCTAATTTATCCCAAAGGAGAAATCAAAATAGTCACTTTTTCCAGCCTCATTTTAGATACAGTGTCAACCAAAACGAACAAACCTGTAATTTTTCAGTGTCGAGTTCAATTAAAATGTCTGCTCTGACCTTTGTGTGTTTTGCAGCGTTGGTTACCTTTGATGTCTCTGTGTACAATCATGTTGCTGTGCAGGTAGGAGACTCCCTGAAGGATCTGCCTGGTGTATCTTCTCGTCACCTTCTCGGTCAGAGCCCCGTAGGCCTTGAGTTGGTCCTTTATTGAGCCCTGGAGAGGCAGCGTGTGAGAGGAGCCGAGGAAAAACGTGAGTGCATTATTCAAAATAACACTGACACGTTCAAGTGGAGTTAGTTTTGTGTTTGGAAAAAACAGCCTCCGGGCCAAGATTCAGGTACAAAAAAACCAAAACTGTAAACACACATGGTGTTAAAAGAAGTCTGCCTGATGTGGAGTCCAAACCATGTGTTGCATTGTTACCCACAGAAAAAACATCTTTGCCATTTTAGCTGTCAACATAACACCTTAATAGCCTTTTGGCTCTACTCCCCCCACATGGCCTGCTGTCTCCCAGGACTAGTGTTATCAGGCAGTGCAGTAACACAAAACCTTGGCTTTTGTCACCTTCTTCTTTCCTTTGCCAAACTCCAATGGAACAAAAATATTTCTAATTTCCACACAATGTGTGACTAAGACGCTTAAAAGCACAGAAATTAAAAACAAGCTCAGAAAATGTTGAAGCAGGCTGGAGGACGAGGTCCACAGACGACAGCCGCTCGTTAAAGTGCTCGTTTAGAAAGAAAACGATCTCGTAAAATGCTCACGTTAACCACAGAGCACATTTGTTGACAGCTGGTGACGCGTTCAAACTGTTTAGTTGCACATTTGGCTTGTTGGATTTGGTCTTAAACTGGGTGTCCAACTAGTGTGCAGCTAAAAGAATTTTCAGTGATCACAAAAGATTACCGTATTTTCGGCGGTACACGGCGCACCGCCCTCCCTATAAGTCGCATCAGTCTAAATATGTCTAACAAAGTGGAAAAATCCATAAATACGTCACTTTGCCATATACGTCACATCTATTATGCGTCATCGCTGACAACCCATGTGGGCCGCTGTTGTGCCAAAAATCGATTGGCTGCCAAATGGCGGCCGCGGGAGCGTGCACGGGAGGACTTTAACAAGAATTTAACAAGATTAACACTTAACAATTATTTGTTTGCTCGAAATCATAGCAAAGGTGTGTCTCAGTCTAATTTTTCCTTAATAAATGCACTTTGACGGTCAAATCAGCTGCATTTCAAAAGCCAATACGCGAAAGTAGGTGCGTGCACGGGAGGACTCGCTGTGCATTTCTTCGAAATTTGACAAGATAAATGCCTAAAAACAATTATTTGTTTGCTCAATTTTATAGTAAAGGTGTGTCTCAGTTGAACTTTTCCTTAATAAATGCACTTCAGTGGTCAAATTAGCTGCATTTTCAAAAGCCGAAATGCGGAAACATGAACACGCAGAGGGCGACTCGTTGTGCTTTTCTTCAAAATTTAACTAGATAAGCACCTAAAACAATTATTGTTTTGCTCGACTTTATAGCAAAGGTTTGTCTCAGTTGAACTTTTACTTAATAAATGCACTTTAATGGTCAAATCAGCTGCATTTTGCCGGGGCGGCGCAGTGAATTGAAGCCAATCTGACGGTTGCTCCAGGTGAGCTGGGCAAAGGTGGCAGGCTATGGCAAGCCGATTGTGTTATTAATAGCCACTTTTTCCTGTTACATGACACAACGGCTTTCCATGCTACTCGAGTGACATCTAGTGGCTGAAAATTATAGTGTTCAATATTTTCAATGTCAGAATGAATGAAATCATCAGATCTCAGCCAAAAATTGGTTTATAAATATGGGAAAAAAATCCATAAATATGTTGCTTCGGCCTATAAGTCGCAGGGCATGTAAATTATGCAAAAAAAACATGACTTATATGGTGAAAAATACGGTACATTTACTTTCATATTATACTATGAGTTCTGTGTACTCACCCCAGGCATGAACTCAACAAAAATGGTGAGCTTTCTCTGGTCAAGGTCCCGAAGACAGCCGTAGTACTGAACAATCCTGTCGTGTCTCAGATTCTTCAGCAGCTGAATCTCACACTCCAGAGCATTCACCTCCTACAAACGCAAATAAATAATATACCATGTTAATAATGTGCCAAAAATAACTTCCAATTTATGTTTTCAGCGATTTATTCCAAACCGACGTGAGGACAGGTCTCACCTTGCTCGTCTCCTGACAGTCGGGGTCAAAGGGCACCTGCTTGGCGGCCAGCTCGCGGCCCGTGTCGGCATCGTAGCAGAGGTAGACCTCCCCGAACGCCCCTCGCCCCAGGAGCTTTCCCTGTCGCCAGTTGACTGGCGCCCGCGGTGCTGCAGAAACACAACGCCCGACGATGAAAACCCACCAGTTTTGTCAACAGAGCTCTCAAAGACAGGCAGGCGGCAGCGCTGAGACACCGATACGAGCGCACACTAAACCCATAACTGTAAACTTCACCAGTCGAGACGTCAAATCCACCGCAGGTTGACAAAAAATAACTGAGTGCAGACTTCACATTTAGAGAAACCCCAGATAAGACAGCCGTGCAGTTAAACTACACTCGGCTGACAGAAAGTTGTCAGAGCCTGAAAAGATCATGTGAGCAGCTCTCATCCTCTCTGTTCCAGACTCTGAGACTTTGTTTTGGAATTAGCAGGCTTCTTTGTGGCCACGATTGGTCGTGTGGGGGTGAGGTGGTCGACCACAGACTGCTGAGCCGAGCGCCGGCAGCATGACAAAGACAAGTTTCCCAGACAGACGTGATCAGGAGGCTGTGACATGGACCGATTAACACGAAGAGAAGGGATTGACTCCTCCTGAGTCTTACTGTACATCCCTGGTTTAACAGCTGCAAAATTATTCTGTATCATGTGCAGAGTTTAGATAAAGAAAATATTTCCCTTCATGCATTTAAGCATCTGTTTGTAAAGTTGTGATTTTGATTTAAACAAGTGTCATTTTTTATTTCATTCAGGAACCATCTGATCAAAGAAGGAATAAAAACAGACATTAATCTTTCTTGTTTTTCAACAACTGTGTGTCTGCAATTCTGGCATTTCATTTTTCAAGTACCGTAATTTTCGGTGAATAAGTCTCAGGTTGTTTTGCATAGATTTGTCAGTCCAGCGACTTATACGACGAAGCGACTTGTATACGATTTTTTTTTCCATATTCATTTCACAATTTTTGACTGACGCTTTAAATTTCTAAGAACTGCAAGAGTGAGTCCTCCCATGCATGCTCGCTTCACTCAGCTGGTGCAGGTGGAGGAACGCTGGAGAGCTAGCGGCTCCAGCTGCAATGGATGGATGGATAGATGGAAGGATGGATGGATGGATGGATAGATGGATAGATGGATGGATGGATGGATAGATGGATAGATGGATAGATGGATGGATGGATAGATGGATAGATGGATGGATGGATGGATTAGATGGATGGATGGATAGATGGATGGATGGA